CACCAAAACCCTGCTTTGCCGACGGAAGAGGCCGTCGTGAATCGCGTCCTCGCGCGGGAGGACGTTGAGCGCGGGGGTTCTCTCCAGGAGATCGTGCTGTCTAAGCCATACGCCCACTTCTTGGGCACCCACGTCGTCGAGCGCTTTCTCGCCGAGACGGGGCGCGCGCGCGAGCCCCACGTTTTTGACGCGGAGGCCTCCACGGAGTGGTCGGCCTGGTATAGTCAGGAGTTTCTCATGCGCGCTATGAGGCTCCCTTGATGCGTGTAGAAGGGTGGAAGTGGGAACGATTCCACCCTGCGAAATCAGGGTAGGACCAATTTGAAACTCTTCTTTTGAGGATCGTCTACTGTAGAATTTGTTAGAACCAATCACCGCATCCAAGAGGCGATACCAAAATTGATGATACAAGGGAGCGGTGTAGTTTTTTTTTCCATTGTGTAGTATTGTTTAGCATGACCTTTCTTCTATTTTTGCTTCACACACAGGGGAAATTATTCATAGTCAATTATTCTAAACAAATGCTATGCGGCTCTTTAAATTTATTAGCATTTGCACCACTGATTACAGCTATAGAGGGACTTGCGATGCACATCATTCCTTTCGATACTTGAATTGGTTTTAATCATTCAACAAATCAGCATATATTCTCTACACAAAGTATTAACGAACACTATAAGTTTACTCAACTTTCAATTCTAATCAAGCGAACGACACTTTTTTTTTATCCTTTAAAAAAACTTATCTTACTCACTCAATTTTAGTGCGAACCCCGATCCTCGCGGACCCAGCCGATTTTCTATCTTTTTCGTTGCTCCTCGGCATATATCTATATATTAATCTATCTATCAATCTATTTATATATATATACCTATATATATATATATCTTTATACACATTTATCACTCTTCCTCTCCTTTTCTCTCTACCTCCCCCGGATTTCCGCGGTGCTTTTCATTTGTGAATGTCCCTCCGTAACAGCAGTGAGAGCCAGGACAAGGCCAACGCAGCGGCGCGGCTGCAGAAGGAGTTGATGGAGTTGATTCTCACCGATGTTGACGGCATCTCCGCTTTCCCTCACAACGACGACCTCTTCCACTGGGTTGCCACCGTCAGCGGGGTGGAGAGGACGCCGTACGAAGGCCTTGAATACCGACTTTCGATGAATTTCCCCTCAAATTATCCCTACTCGGCGCCCACCGTCAATTTTTTGACGCCGTGTTTTCACCCGAACGTGGATGTACACGGGGTGATTTGTTTGGATATCTTGAAGGAGCGCTGGTCCGCAGCGTACACGGCAGGGGCTGTTTTGCTTTCCGTGCAGTCCCTGCTGGATAATCCCAATAATCAATCCCCCCTCAACGCGCAGGCCGCGCAGATGTGGGGGCAGACAGAAGGCTACCGCCGTGCCGTTCTCGCAACCTACGAGACCGGCTCTATTGCTCACAACGGTGGTGCCCCTTAGAGAGGATTAAAAAAAAGGAGAACCAAAAGAAAAGAAAA